CCTCTATCTAATGGCACAGGTTTCACTTAAATAATCATTTATTTAAAAGATGGATACCTAAACCCAAAATGGTTCGTTTTCACTTCAAAACACACACAAAGATGTCCAACTCACCATACTAAATTTCATTAGCCCTAGAGACATTTTGACCACCTTAAATGGACCATACACAACATGAAAATTCAATCATAACACACAATTAACCATTCACATTCAAAATGACTATTAAAACTGCAATTCACAACAACATAAAGGGGTGGATAAATTCTAACACATATGTCACTTAGTCATTTTGACACATAAATCTCTTCCAATTCTTCACTTATAATAGTAACTTGACCAAGCACACACATTTAGTCTACAACATCAATCTTGGATCAAGATATGCACACTTATTATAAATTCATACAAGTGATATCCAAAATAAGGTCATGTTCCTAAACTGGTAATATATAATGGCAATATTCATTACAAATCCAAAAGAGAAAGGGAAAGAATTATACTACAACGCTCTTCACTTTTCAATTGCCCTTTCCTTCCCCTTACCTCTACCGGAACCCTTACCTGTAAAATATAACCACGGGGTGAGATAAATATTTCAGTAACCAATATAGTTCATCAAATATTTATTACCATAAATTACCTTGATAAAGTATCAAAACTATAGTAATAACAAGTATACCATATTTATGAGATAAGTGCATCTTTTCACAACAAATCCACATTATTTCATACTAGCATGATCATCTAACCACCGAACCTCCAATGCTCCCCGACATGAAACCATAGGCTTTCCTGGCTCAATCACTTGTTAACCTGAGCACACTTTTGGTAGTAGAAACACCTGGCCAAAAGTAATCCAACTCACCTATGGACTATGATTTTTTTCCTCTTCATACACTTATGATAGAAGCATCGTTGACTTTTAACCACACCCTAATGGGTACTAAAAAGTTGCCAAATTGCCCGGATATAATGTTGTACCGAATGTCCTACGGTGTCAGCCCGACCATATGAATTTTTCACTCACATATCTCCACACACACATATCCCCACACATCTCGGGTGAACTCCCACCCCCTATGATCATGCTCTTTCACAATTTCCACTACTTTTCTTCACATTTTCACATTACAAACTTATATACATAGTATATACGTATCAATCAAAATCAATAACTTTTTACAAATCAATTTTCATGTTATGCACAAAACTCTTCAAAACCACAACTTTATCATTTGTATTTATTTCTATACTGTTATAATAGTTAATAAACATAATAAACTAAATGGTTACCTCAACCCTTTGTCACACAAAAGGGTTACCGTGGCTTAACATTAGCTTCACACATTCTATGTGCACGATAGCAATGCTCAATCTACAAAATCAAGTGACAATCATCAATTATTACTCTGAATAACTCCTAATTCATTAGGTTGTAAGCGTCTAAAATACCCAAATTCCTTTTCTAACAACATCAACCATTTTTAAATACTCTAACCATCATATTAAACATCCCAACAGACTAAAATTACTAACCAATATTCCACATTATCTCAAAATTTTTGAATTATACTTAAGGTTGTCCAAACCCTTACCAAAAATTTTCAATCACCATAAAACTCATAAACTTAAGTTAACTCCCCAAGACCTTGAATAAACCAATAGGTTCGGTCTAAACCTAAGGAAACCAAAATCAAAGCCCCCATTACCCTAAATCTCTAGATTTTTTGCATAATGAGGGAGAAGAGGAAATGTGTAACTTATCTAATGGTGATTCAAGCTCCAAATGCCTCCAAAGTAGCATAGGGATCATGCCCTAGCATACCACAAGCTCTTCTCTGTTGCTCTCTCATTATCCCTCTTTCTTCCTTTTATTTTTAATCTATTTTTTATGTTTGATAAGTGCAGATTTTACATGTTCACTGCGGTGTATTAACACACCCACCGTGGTGCATGACACAGAAAGTTTCACAAAGTTTTAAACTTCCTTTCGTGACATGATCTACTCAAACATTGACCTAACCCTCTTTTAAGGCTGTTTAAGGATTCAAAAACTATATTAGTCTCTCACAAACCTCGCTAAATCAATAGTTCATCTAAATTGACCAAATTACCCTTGGAAACACAAATAATTACTAATGGAGAAACTTAGGATGTTACACAACTCATCCAAAGCTCAAACCCTAACACAACAAAGCTCTCAAAGTGTCTTTAAGTGTGTAGAATGCATTCTAAGTCAAGTTCACAACATATATGCATCATACATAAGCATTTTCAGATAAATAAAATGAAGCGTTTTGCTCTCAACAGTGAAAGTCATGACTTTGGGACGACTTTGGTAGTTTTGCACTCTTTTTGTAGCTAACTAAAGTTATTCACTTTGTGCTTGATTTCTTCATCTAAAAGCCTTCTAAAAATATCAACAAAGCTCTAGAAATGCTTCTAATTAAGTTTTAAACCAAAATAACATGAAAGTAGCCCAAAAAATATTAAATTAAAGCCAAGAATGTAAATCCAAAGAAAAATGCACATTTTCTTAATTTGGACAATCAAAATATACATAATTGAGCTAAAATAGATTAGAATCTAAAGAAAATGTGATGAAATGATATGAAATTCTAAAGGTTAATAGTACTGGATCATTTGAGCAAGTATGCCCATTTTATTGCCCTTACATATCCCTACACTACAAAGAAGGTCATAGCAATCTTTTATGAAGAAATCATCCATCTACATATGGTACCTCATTGAATTGTCGCTGTCGTAGCAATCTTTTACGAAGACATCATCTGTCTACATGGGATGCCTCACTCAATTATCTTTGATACGGACCCTACTTCCATGAGCTCCTTTTAGCAAGAATTATTTCAGCTGAGTCAAACCAAGTTAAAGATGAGTACTGCTACCTATCATCCCCAAACAAATGATCAAACAGAGGTAACCAACTGAGGCCTCGAAGCCTGTCTTTGATGTTTTGTGCATGAACAACCATGTTTATGGCACAAGTTCCTTTGATGGGCCGAATACTCAAACAATATAGGTCATCATGCATCCACTAAATCTACTCCTTTCAAATTGGTGTATGGTAGAGATTTGCCTCCCCTCTTTCTATATGTGAAAGGTGAAACTCCTATAGTTGATTTAGAAGACCAATTGGAAACAAGGGATGCATTGCTCAAACTCCTAAAAGATGATTTTCATAAGGCTTGAGACAGGATGAAGGCTTATGCGAACAAGCACAAGAGGGAAGTCGAGTATGCTGAAGGTGATGTTGTTGGGTTATGGGTCCAACCCTTTCGCCAATAGTCTCTCACCAAGACAAAAATTAAGAAATTGTCCCCTTGTTTCTTTGGCCCTTATAAGATTCTTGGGTGGATTGGCAAGGTAGCTTATGAATTTGACCTTCCTTCAGATGCTTGAATTCACCCTATTTTTCATGCATCTCTCCTACACCCTGCTTATGGGTTGGATCCACCTGTTTCTCTAGCTTCCTTACCAATCACTATTGATTTTGAGTTCCATGTGACACTGGATCAAGTCTTAGCTCATCACAAGACTTGACATAAGTCGCTTGAATTATTGGTGCAATAGCAAGGATGACCTGTAGAAGAATCAAATTGGGAAGACTACAACCTCTCGCGAGCTCAATTTTCCTCTTTTTAACTTGAGGACAAGTTGAGTTTCCAAAAGAGAGGTAATGATAAAATTCCCTTAAAGATTTATTCAAAAAGAAAGCGATACAAAGATAAGTTAAATCTAATTTTATTATTTTATTTGAATATTATTCAGGAGATTTTATTTATTATGAGATTTCATTTAGATATTTAGTTTTTATCTAGATTTAAATTTTATTCATTTAGATCTTATTTAGTCTTTCATTATCTAGTAACTTAGATTTCATTTATATTTGCGTTTAGAAATATGATTAGCAACTTAAAAGCTAGCACATTATCAGTAAAATAATTCATTAAACTCTTTGAAAATTCTCTTAAGCGTGCCCGTTGAGAAAAGTATAAAATATCATCTCAATAGATTTATTTATCTTATTTTCTTTTATTACTTTGAGAACCTATGACTCTTGGTGTTCCAGAAAAGTAAGACCAATTGAATCAATTTAACTTTAAAAATGTGGTTGGATATGCCACTCCTTGGATCAATTAATGCCTTTTTCATACTAATTTACAGGCGATTAAATGAAGTTAACAATTCTTGAGACACCAATTTATTTCTCTCCTTTTTTTTCCTAGCGGGATTAGTAAATGCAAATTTTCCTTCAACTTTCGCACAAAACTCTCAACTTGAATAACTATAATTTCAAATTTATAGCGTAAAAAATATTTTAGTACTTATAATTCTCATTCATTTTCAATTTAACTATAATTTAAATTTTCACAAATCAATTCATGAAAATAGTTATTATTCAAACATTTAAAAGTTGTTCCCAAAATGAAGTCCGTTTATAAAACTACTTCAACCGAAAGTTGAAGGAGCACACTTTTTGGCCATATGGCATACATTACATACATGTACGAGGATACGTAAGATTTGGTTTGGGTAAAGCTAAGCCATCATCTATGCTTCCCTCTTCCACGCTTGAGCGCACAACAGAACCAATGTTTGCCAATAGAAGTGAGCATCAATCAATTCGGTTTAACGTCAAAACGTACAAAATCAATTAACCAAACAAATAATATGGACCAAATTGAACCAAACAATGTAATCAAACTGAACAAAAATCGAACTAAAATTTAACAAATCAATATGATCAATTAATTTGATTTTTAGGCGTCATAATCGATTGGTTGGCTAATTGAGCCTATTTTGCTATTTTTTTCTTCTAAAAAAGATTTAAAAAAAAAAAAAAGCAGAACGTACAAGACTTGTATGTAACAATAAACTTGTAAAATAATAGTAGCTAAATCAAATCTATAACTTGTACACACATTTTTTTTATAAAATAAAACATAACAAGCATATCTTAAGCCCACCATGGAATGTAGATCCATATTCAATCAAAATTAAAATTCAACACAGCAAAGCAGCGTATTAAGAAACAACAATTCAAGCTAAATCAACAACGTACTAATAAAGCGTTATGCATGGTATAATTTACTTGAAACAAGATTCAAGCTCAAGCCTACCGTCTACTTAAGTCTTTAAAACATTAAAATTCAATCACAACAACCAGATGTCCAGATTCACATGGCCACTAAATCAACATCGAAGCTATGAATACAAAACAAGCAGCCTTCATAAATCAGATCTAAGCCCGGCATCTTGCAATCTACATTATACAAGAAAAAATCATATAAGTAGCAAAGAATTAATCATTAAATTTAGTATCAAACTCAAATCAAAGCTACACATAAAATAGTTACCAAACACATTTGATTCCCAGGCAATTTTTTTTTTATTTTTTTAAGATCTAGACATACATCAAGTGTTCGATGTCGATATCATAGAGCCATTAACTCAACAATAAAGGTTAACCAATATAACACCGCAGAATTTAATTCGGTTTATATCCACGTTTGATTCCAAAGCAATTTATCTGAAGTCTATTTGTCAGTAATCAACTTGATAAAAAGATAATTTTTGCAACGAGGTTTATATTTAGATATATTTTTTTTTCAAAAAAAATCAACTTAACAAACTGAAAAATTGTTTAGATAATATATAACAAAAATAATATTTGGTTTCATATTAGAAGCAAGTAACCAGTAAATTTTGATCAAAACCATAATAAAAAGTGAAATAATCATATAAGTTAATTTTTTTCCACCAGGAAAACCCCCCCCCCCCCAAAAAAAACCAATATTACATTCAGTATCATGTCTGCAAACTTCCCAAGACCCTAGCCTCCGGTGGCTTAATTCCATTCTAACACCACATATCTTATCTAATTATCTACTGATCCCAATCCAAGCAACCATTCAGAACATACCACTACAGTATTAGACATTTGGACAAAAACACCGCCTTTCACCAGGGGAGAAAAAAGCAAACGCCACAAAGGGAAAAAGAAAGAAAACTAGAAGCAGGAATCTATACCTGACTCGACATAATCTCTTCACTATATTCTAAAAGACGAACGCCCAAAGAAGGACGATCTTTCTCTATGTTTCGGGAAATAGTACTTCAGTCACTCTGCAAATCATTCAAACGCGAATCATCAGAACGCCTCAATCATTCGAAACAGAGCATAGCAGACATAGCACGCCAGCCATCCTGCAGAGCATCAGGATGTCTCAAGCTTTCGGTGCTTAAGAGGAATTAAACGAAACTTGCTTGGGCTCAGCTAATAAAAAAAAGATTGGAACTTGTCAGACAACCAAGTGACCATCCCCACACAGTTGAACTGCCTGGGAACGATCCTCTGCGGTCCGGCTGAACCCTACACTGGGCAGCCCAGACCAATAATCACGCTCTGATCACCTGGTCATAAGTCATCAACCAAGCTGTGGTTCTTGTCTCCTTGAAACTCAAGGACACAGAGGTACGAACCTATAGAACAGATCCTGTTCAAGTAAGGTCGTGCCCATCTACGTTGGTTTCCTACCTTTTATACTCCAATTTTGGTCGTGTGTGCTCGGTGTGGGATTTAGTTCGCTTATGTCGCAAGAATGCCCATAAGCTTATCCTCACGAACTCCGCAAACTTGAGGGCACTTTTGGTATTTGGCTCAACAAAACTGCTGTCACGTGCCTTTTTATTTGAGAATTTGTGCTTCTGATCTGTGTTAGTGTAGCCATCAGTAGAATAAACATTGAAAAGAAAAGAAGCTCAGAGATCAAAGCTATAGTATCATAGAATGGTGTTCGATTTTGGGCACCAGAATCTTGTGAGAACAGAAACATACGACTAAATTACACATTAAATGAAATTCTAATTAGCCGTCCCAGTCAACTAACATTATGTAGAAAAGTTTTTTTTTTTGGATAATATGCAACCGGCATGACCTTTGTCTTTCCATGGTAACCAGAGCTCTAATACAACAAATCAGTAAGTAAATACATAGCCAGTAAACCCTTTCAATGCATTACATTATTACTTATTATTGTTAACATAATAATCACATTTCCGTAATTCCAAATTGATGTATTGAAAGTCATTTAGTTTAAAAGAAACGTACAAAACAAAGACTTCATTTGGACTAATCTGCCTAAAATCTTTCACAACTATAATAGATGAATGTATATGTATTGATCAATAGTTATACTCTAATATTAAAAAAAATTTTGGGTATGTATGGCTATGATGGTTGAACCTACGCTGCATCTGACGTATATAGAGGGACTTTAATTAAGAGGGGCAGGGGGGAGGGGGACTGAACTAATAAATATAATGATGAGATGTTGACTCCCACATATAATCTTTTTTTTTTTTTTAATTCTATCACTCCTCATATATGAATACATGTTTGCATAAGATCCAATTTAAGCTACCTAAACTCCTCACCTTTAGTGGCTTAATTTTATTCTATCACATTACATATACATATATAAATTATCTACTGATCAAAATCCTAGCAACAAGTAAGGCTACAGTATTGAGATTTTTGAACTACAATACAAACAGTGATAACAAGAACCAACATCACGAAAAAAGCAAAGGATATTTCAGGAGGATCCATACTAACTTGGTTTATTCTCTTCAAAAGATTTAGATGAAGTCCAAGACAAATGCGTAAAAAGAAGAGCGATCCTTCCAAATATATGAACATGGTGCTTAAGCCATCCAGCAAAACATAGCATGCATAGGAGGAAAAGTTTGCTTCCAAGCTCAGAATACTTGAAAAAAAGAATAACAATTTAAACATAACGGATACAAAGAAGGGCGGTCCTTCCAAAGAACATGGTGCTTCAGCCATCCTGCAAGATAAAACACACATTGGGGGGGGGGGGGGTTTGACTCAGAATATTTAAAAAAGAAAAAAAAGAGTAACAACTTAATCATAAAATATAATGAGAAGTTAGATGGACTAGCAAAAAGTATTGGAAGCTTGTCAGACAACCAAGTGACCATCCCACACAGTTGAACTGCCTGGGAATGATCGTCTGCAGCCAAGCTAACAAAAATCTGGGCAACCAGACCAATAATCACGCTCTGATTACCTGGTCATACTTGATCAACCAAGCTGTGGTTCTTGTCTCCTTCAAACTCAAGGACACAGATGTACGAGCCTATAGAACAGATCCTGTTCAAGTAAGGTCGTAACTAATTGCGTTGGTTTCCTACCTTTTATACTCCAATTTTGATTATGTTGTATTCAACATGGGACTTAGTTACCTTTAGTCCCAAAAATGCCCATAAGCTTATCTACATGAACGTAATAAACTTGATGGCCCTTGGTGTATTTAGCCGTAGAGAGGTGATGTGTCACGTGATTTCTGCCTCAGAATGTGCGCTTCTTGTCAGTATCGTAGTTTTTTACAGAATACTCATAAATAAAATAAGCATTGAACATACAAAATTTGATCCCATTATCCTATATGATTTGGCATATATTTAAATGTGCTTCAAGGCATGATAATCTGGTTGTAGATCATACTGGACTCAAGTTTTAAGTTTATCCTGAATTTCTAATAAAAGATAATTACAGTCGAACAATCTGTTATCTTGATTCATAATGTGTTTACTTTTTTGTTTCTCTTGATGCGTTCTGTCTTGGAGCCCAAAAATTTAAAACATTATCGTTCTCATGCTTTTGACCTTCAACTTTCTGAGCATTATGCAAAAGGAAATCCGCATAGGATATCAAGAATACGGTGTATTTAGCCAACATTATGTGAACAGAGACCCCTCCCGTGAGATATCTTTATGAACATTATTGACATCAAAGAAGAAATTATCGATTACTACAAAGGAATAAACCAATTTTTTTCCCAAAAAAAAAAAAAACATCGAAGTACATATTTTCCCTCAGCTCGTCCTTTATAAATTCCCATTAATATCACACACTCTTTCAACATTTACTAACTTAAGCATCGGAGTTTTGTCAAGAAACCTGCTTCTGTTAATTCGTAAAACAATGGCATAAAATAAGAATCCATAACAGGTAGCACTACTCACAAACCAAAAATAAACAATGCAAGTCATTTCTCAATTTCATATGATATATAGGGGCCCACCTAAGTAATAAATAATAAACATAAAAGAGATTGCACACCAGAGTGGCTAATGAGATAATTCATTGCCTATCAGAAATTTTAATTCGCAAACAAAACAGTTGATTCAAGCCAAGCATTCAATAGAGGCCAAGAGATACAAATTACATAATATAGCATCTAATTAAAAAAAAAATAGAGAGAGAGACTAAGCTAATTAAATGGTTTTATGAAGTATCTTTGCTTCTCAGAAAGCTGCCAACAAAAATTCTCAGCTTCTTATTCATGCATGGCAAAGCAGAAGTTTGAACTTTAACATATCAGCGCAAACAATTTTAACCAATTTTACATAAGGCGTGCGGATCAAATTTCACGAACATAAAGATAGTGTCTGAAAACACTGCATTTGAAGCATTTCAAGTCAAACCAGAAGAATACAACCAGTAATCTTTTACCAGCTGAAAATATACCCTCCAAATCTCACTACTTTTCTAGAGTTGATATCAGACATGAGGACTGATGCAGTGTACATATACCTTTCCAGATAGTGCATCCTGAACAACGATAATGTCCTGGTAATGACAGATCTAACCTCTCCTGTTTAACGCCTCTGAATCAAATAGACTTGGATCTTGATTCTCTATCGACATTACGCCATTCTCATCTTCGATGCTAGTCGTTCCCCTGTTCGCATCCAACAAACCACCTACACAACCAATTTTAAGGTCCAAGCATCATATTAAGCAAATTAGTTAAGGTTCGCTAATGAATTTGACGTGGCTTGTATTGAGATCAAAAAATGAACGAATTCAAACCTGCCAAGATGAAAATGATCTTGCAAATTTCAGATGCACTGGAAAGTACTAAGAAAATGAACTTAAAATTTGCAGTTCAGGGAATCATAACAGAGAACGAGAAAGGAAACGGAAGTTTTTTATATAACAGTCACAGGCTGTGAAATCCCCAAATCTAAATTGAAAAAGGGGAAGGAGATGAAAGAATGCCCAAGCCGAAGCAACGCCGTGAGAAGGTTCAGTAATATGAAGAATATGCACTATAGTGAAACAAATCCGACAAATCATCAAGTGAAACACTCGAGAACATAAATTATTGATTAAAATATCGATTTAAGAAGTAAGAAGCCATAGTATCACATCTCACCAAATGCGAACTAGAATTTTTTTCATTATGGCTTGAAACTTCTGGAATGAAGTAGCAATCCACTGCTTCAGTAATCAAAAAGACGGAAAGCTTATCAGACAAGCAAGTGAAAATTCGTCACTGCGTTGCTTACTGATTCGTCACACCGGGATACGGGCCCTGTCACCCAATGACAACGACGGTTCTTTGTTGTGAATGAAATAAATTAAATTACTCCCTACCAATATATAACTGAATTTCATTTCTATTCAAATTAACATAATTTTTATATATTTATTTTTTATTTAATAAAATTTTATTTGAAAATAAATATAAAATAATTTATTTATTATAATATTTTAAAAAAATACATTAATTATATTTTAAAATATAAAAAATCCATTACATTTATAAATATTTATTCTCTCAAAAAATGTCTAACATTTTTTATTAAAAAATATTAATTTATTAATATTAATCATGCATAAGTAGTTAGATTTATTATTTTTAATATATTGAAATTTTTTTATACTATTCCATCTGTATTAATTTATAAGATAATTTTAAAAATAATTTAATATCTTAAAATATAAGATAATTTGTTAAAATAAAGTTTTATTAAATATATTTTTTAATATTATTTTTAAGCCTTATTATATTATCTCTCTCATTAATATTAACTATAATTAAATGAGTTTAATTTTTGATATCATCATAATTAATTGTAACCTATCCGACATCAAGCGTAAAGTGTGCGGTGGTCACAATTTTAGAATATTCTAAAGTTATTATTTCCATAAGAATTTAGACAAATGAGGATTAAATTTACTATTAAACTTTAAGATAGGTTAAATAAAATTAATAGTATGTTTGTGTGAAAGTAATAAAAATTAGATTAATAAGTGTTTTAAAGCAATTAAAATTTGTTGAAACCTTAACTTCAACAGGTGAGGATCTAAAATTATCTCTTTCCTTTTCCTCTCAAATATATTTTTAATGAAAATAAGTATTAGTCTAATATTCTAATTTACTTGAAAAAGCTGCTAATAAAAAAATTACTTGAAAAAGCTTTCTTAAATTAAAATCAAATATATTTGCAAACACTAAAATTTCACAATCCCTTAAAAATAAATAGCAAAAATAACTTTTAAGCTCCAATCTTAATAAAACTATAAAGAGTCAATAAAATATCTCTATTTTACTAACAAAATCATCTATTTATCTTTGTAAATTTTAAGTCCAACACTATTTTATTCAAGTTCTCCACCTAACTTAGCTCTTTCAAGCACAACTTAAGTGAACAAAATAATCTAAATGGTGAGCAAACATTTAGAAGCACTAAGCATAGGATAAAATAAAAAAACACACACACACACACATCATTAATGATAAAAAAAGAGGAATATTCAAGTCTTAATCCATACAACGATTCAAAATAATCCTATAATAAGAGAACTAACTACTCATGTTTAGAAAAGAGCCATAAATGACACAATATATAGCATCTATATCATAAACAAAGAGAGAAAAGGGGAGAGAAGAAGAAAAACTGAAAGAAATCCACTTGAATCTCTTTAAATCTTCAATTCTTAGCCAAATTTCCTTCAAGAACTCTAAACCCTAGTAGAGCAAGTCTCAAAGAACCTTAGGAAATCGTAGCTCTCTCTTCAAAGTGCAAGAATTTTGCATATGTAACTCTAGCTTCAAGTCTAATTAAAAAATGCATAGTTTCAGTAAAAAGCTTTTGGTTGTGGCCAATTCTTCCCTGGCTGCAGCCAAACCCTCTCAGTTGAGAGGAACCCTCTCAGTTAAGACCTCTCAACTACAGCCAATTCTTCCTCAATTGCAGCCAAAACCTCTCGATCAGGATCTCTTAATTGCAGCCAATTCTTCCTTGGCTACGGCCAAAACCCGTTAATTGATTTGTATTTCTAGCTTTTGACTGAGGCTGAAGGATTGTCGGCTGAGGCCAAGAGTACTTGGGCTAAGACTTAATTCTTCACTCTTTATCTTGACTTTTTCTTGATGTAATAACTTCGTAACTCCTTTTTTACTTCTCAAACAATGTTCCAACAACCTAAGAAGGCAAGAAATTTTGTAAATCCAAGATTAATTATAGTAAGATAAAGAATTATGCACAATTTACACCAAGATTTTGTCATTTTAACCCAAGTGTGAAATATGCACATTTTCCTATTATATGTGCCAAAAGTATGCACAATTTCATCAAAAAGCATATGAAACTATAGGAAAATGCATTGAGATGACATAAATTTTTATAGGTTATCACAACCCCAAACTTAAATTTTTACTCATCCTTGAGTAGAAAAACAAGTAAAATAGCTCAATTAATAGATTATCCATTTACCAAGCATGCATGATTTTGTCCTCATCAATTTCTCAAGCAAGTATTCCAAGTAAGAAGAAAGTAGAACATTAATGAATGCATGATTTTGTAAAATTAAAGCTAGCTTTTCAATAATTTTGAAGTGAGTGTATGAATAGAGTCAAAACATATTTATCCTGTAATTGCCAAAGTCAACAACATCAATTCAACTTGCATAAAACAATTTCAGTCAATGAAATTTTCACATCTCAACTTCTCCCTATCTCTCTACCCATAAGTTATTTCACTGGATTTAAAAATAAAAGGGACTATATAAGCTTGTAATGTGGCCAGGGGTAAAGGTAATTGAAAGAATAAGATCAAGAAATAAATCAAATACTTTGAGATAAATGCCCTTAAACTCTTCATCCTTGAATAAACAAATTTTTTTTCAACTACACATGTACCTTCCTCCAAACTTGAACCAAATTGATCTTTTACTCCAAGCTTTATTGAATTCAAAATGCACAACTTTTTTTTTTCCTTTTCTCTTTTTTTATATATATTTCTTTTCTTTTCTTTCTTTTTTTTCCAACAATAGGTTAAATTACAAAAGACTCATAATTTCTTTCATATCATCTATTCCTAACTAAAAGTAATGTAACCCATCAACCATAATCACTCCTAATCACCTATCATGAATATCCATTTATCTCAAAGCCAAGGTAATCCATGATTTTTTGAGCTTATAAGGCTTGGATTTCACGTGGATAGCCAAAATAATTTATTAAATTATTTTTTAGGCTCAAATTATGGGTTTCGAATGAAAGGCATCAACTTAGGTTAGCTTGAAAGGCCCCAACACATTTAAAGATAGCCCTAATCATTTTTCAAAATTAAGTTAAACAACTAGAAGATTTTGAAAAAGTTCAAAGCAAGCTATGAAATTCATTCATTAAAATAGTATCATACAAATCAATTTGTCACAATTTCCTTCAACAATGACATTCAAAATAAAATTGACTCTATTATACGCAAAGTGTGCTCAGGTCAATAAGCTATTGATCCAAGAGAGCCTATAGTTTCGTGTCAGGGAGCTTTGGAAGATCAGTGGATAAATGATCATGCTAGGGTATAGAAGTGTTTGAAACATAAATTATATGCAAAAAAAAATATTTTAGCTATCATATATTACATATATATGCTATAATATAGTTTTTGTTATTTGACATGGTTATTTGTGAAAATAAATATTTAATGAGCTATATTGATTACTGAGATTTTTATATCACCCGTTGTTATTTACATTTTTCAAGTTCCGGTACTAGTAGTTCAAAAGAAAAGGATATAAGCTGAGTTGGCATCTCTCATCGAAGTCTGTGTAAGAATTGGTGTAATGAATTTGCTGCTAGTAGTTGTAAATAAGTATAAGTTGCCATAAAATTCAATTCATATGCATAAAGTTGCATTTATGGTACGTTTGATGATTTTGAGTTCTCTAGCCCTTGTATATGTGTGAATGATGAAATGATTGGATGGACTAGTGGATGAATGTATATGTGTGTAAGTATGAGATGTTTGAAAAGTATGTAGGATGATTTAGCCATGTATGAGATAAAGAAGTGAAAATGTGATTTTGGCCAAAAGTGTAAAATGTGTAGTTTACAGGCCAAATATGTATATGTGTGATATATTATGCATGTGTATGGTCAATCAGGTGTGTATTGTCTATTTGGACATGGTCAAGACCCAAAAAGTGGTTAATGACAATTGGTTTTGAATTAAGCCACTTGAGTGACAAGATTTTGGCAGAAAATGGTCAAAATATACTTAGATAGCCAATTTTTGATAGAAATATTGGATTGAATAGAAACCAGTGTCATTAGTTAGATTTTAAAACAAGTTTCGTGTGGGTGCTTGAATCATCCCAATCGGACATCGTATGTGAAAATGACGTGCATCTGAATTTTGTATTAGAAACTGCAATTTGACATCAAATTCAGGTATGTGCGCCATGGCGCATGTACTCACATGCCCTGGTGTATGGCATAGAGTGAGCAGTTATGGCCTTTGTGCCACATACCACAGCGCATGTGGCACAAGCCATGGCGCATGGTACTAATTTCACTTTTTTTTTCAATTTTACATATGTTTTCCTAGTCCTTGATGCACAAAGGTTTATTACTTTTGCTGTGCATATAAAGTTTTATACTTGAGTAAGTTATAAAATGATTTTTGAGAATCATTTCTTGGGATCCGAAGGCTTTCAAAACTTTAAAGTAAATGATTTTGATTTGATTGATATTAATTGTAGTAGAGCATATGGTAATGTCAGATAGGGCATTGCAATTGTGGTACAGGAGGATTCCTTTGTTTAATACTTTTGTAGTTAAAAGGTGCGACAGCAATGAGTGGATGGTCACCAACTTTGTCAAGCAACCCATTTTCCTTAGAAAAGGTAGCTACTAAATGAGGAAGAATAACATCACAAGAGTGATCAATAATTGTAGTGCATAAAGATTGATATATAAGGATACCCAAATCAATTGATTTCTCTTCCATCAGCAAACAAATCAACAGGGCTTTTTCCTTAGCCAACTTACTCTTGTTTGTCGATAGCCAAATGTAGTCCTTAACAAAATAGAGCCAAATCATAACTTCAACAATGAAATGCTTTCTATCCAAGTACCTTTGGCTACCACAAGGAATCTGCCATTCCACTCGACCCTTATAATCAAGCTTTCTCGCAACCTCATTATAAGGTATCTGGTCCTCATGCTTAAGGTAGTAGCTGTATATGCAATTTAGGCACTTAGGCAAGTTTACATACTGATAGAATTTAGCAATTGTGAAATCCAAC